ATTATAAAGAATATAGAGTTTATGATGTTTTTAGAGTTTATAAAGATTATAAGAATTATGAAAATTATGGTAATTATAAAAATTATGGAAATTATGAAAATTATGGAAATTATAGGAATTTCCAATCGTAACATTTTCCCCTTCTTTTGAAAATTGAGTTCCACATCAATTATAACCAGTTTTGAACCAATAGGGTTAATTGTTCTAATTGTATTTGGTCTAATTGACACAATTCTTTGTATAAGGTTACTTTTACTGATAATAATTTTTCTGGGGTATTGGGGAAGGTGTAAGAAAGCCATTTTGCTAATTGCAGGCGTTTTCTCAATGAACTTGAGTAAGGATTTTCAAAGTTTCCTTTCATCAACTGAAGTTGACTTATTTTATTGTCTTTTATCTTTCTCAATTCATTTCCTATTTTCCATAAGAGACATAGTTTTTCTCCACTTTTTGCCTGTGAGCGAAAACAGTCTCCAAATTCGGTCCACAATTCTTTGATTTTTCCTTTGGGTGAATTTTTTGTATGATGGAAGTTTATAGTGTTCTTCCTTTTTCTTCTCCATGCCTTCTTCAGTTGTTGGTTGATTTTATCTATTTCTTCATCAAACTGGAGAGTTTCTTCTTCGTTAACTGCTTCGTTATCTTGATATCTTTCAACTATTTCGTCCGTTTCGGTTTCTCTTACCAATATTTCTTCTATTGGCGGCGTTGAGAATCGTGGTCCTGCTGAGTCGATTATGAACGTTACATTCGGGAAATTTTTTTTTATTTTTGTGGTCAGTTCATTGGCTAATTGCCAAGTTTCCGTTATTTCGTTGGTTTCGTCGGTAGGTGTTGTGGTTTCGTTTATTATTTGGTTCATTTTGTTGTTTCCGTTATTTTATTCGTGTTATCGTTATTTTTATAATAATTCGATTTTTGTCAGATCTGGAAAATCACGTGTATCATGTGATTTTATTATTATTTATCGTGTTAATTAAATTTTATTCGTTAAATTTTTAGTTGTTTATTAAACCTTTTTTTTTTTTTTTTTTATTTATTTTTACTTCTTTTTATATTCTTTCAAGTTTTTTGTTGATGTCGGTATTATTATGATTGGGGTTGTTTTTGCGGTTTCTTCCCCTTCTTCATTTGAGGATTCGTCCTCGAATTCGTTATTTCTATTTTGTCGTTCGTAATAATGTTTGAGTCGATTTCCATGTACGAATTTGGTGTGGATTCCGTTTTGATCGGCGAGCTTGTAAGCTCCGTTGTTGAGTTTTTTGTGTATCCAGTATGGTCCGTCCCATTTTGGGTCTAGTTTACCAGACCATTGTTTATCGCTTTTGCTTCGGTATACGAGTACTTTGTCGTTGATATTATATTCTTTATTTGGTAAGTTATGGTCGTGTTGTTCTTTTTGTTTTTCTTGTGATTTTTCGATGTTTATTTTGGCTTCTAGTCGTTTTTCGTTTAATAAATAGATTGATTCATATATTTGTTTTTCTAGGTTTTCTTTGTAATTGTTGTTAGTTTGTTCACGTTGTGTCGATATTTTCAATTCGATTGGTAATGTCGCTTTTCGTCCGTACATAAGATCGAATGGTGTAAATTTAGTGGTATCGTGTTGAGCAGTTCTATAAGCAAAGAGGGCAGCTGAGATGTGTTCATCCCAATGCGTTTTAGATTGTAAAGTAAGTTTTGCTAATGTTTCTGCTAGTGTTCGATTATAACGTTCTACTAATCCGTTCGTTTGTGGGTGGTAGGGAGAGGATAATGTCCTTTTGATATTCATTCGATCACAAAGTTGTTGGATCGTTTCGTTGACGAAATGTGTTCCTTGGTCGGATAGGATTTCTTTGGGGCATCCATGTCTTGCGATAATATCTTCCTTGATAAATTTTTCGACATTTGCTGCATTAGCTCTTTTGATTGCTCTTGCTTCTGGCCATTTCGTAAGGTAATCGATGGCTACTACAATATATTGGTTTCGGTTGCTTGTTATTGGGAGTGGTCCGAGGATGTCAATGCCGATTCGATCGAATGGTTTTCCTACCCTAATTGGGTTTAATGGTTCAGTTACTTTTGGTCGACCTCTTTGTTGGCAGATCTCGCATGTTCGTAAGTATTCTTTTACATCTTTGGTGATTGTTGGCCAGTAGTATCGTTCCTTTATTTTGTTAATTGTTATATTTTGTCCTAGGTGTCCAGAGTACTCGTTGTTGTGTAAGTTTTGAAGGATAATTTCCTTTTCGTCTTGTTTTATTACTCGTTTGGGCTTTTCTTCGTTTCTTTTCTGGTGGTAAAGTTGGTTGTCGATTATTTGGTAAGTGTTCGTATATTTTTTTATATACTTTTGTTGCTCTAGTGATAATTTCGCTAATGTAGTGTTATCTTTTTTATAGTTTATCCAGTTATTGTATGTTTCTTGATTCATTAATAATTATTTTTGTTTTTGTTTTCGGTGTTATTAATTCGAGGGTTGGGTCGGTTTCGATGATGGGGTTGTCGGGGTATTCGAGACAAAGCGTCAACATTTGAGTGCTTTCGTCCGGGTTTATATATGATGTCGAAATCATATTCTTGCAATGTGGTAATCCATCGCATTGTTCTTCCGGTTGGAGTAGATCTGGTAATTAACCATTTCAATCCAACATGGTCAGTAATTATATCAAATTTTTGTTCTAATAAGTACTGTCGGAAGTACTTTACTGCCCAAATGACGGCGAGGCATTCCATTTCATGTGCGGCATAATTTTGTTCTGCCGGGGATAGTCCGCGACTGGCATACGCTACCGGTCGTTCGTTTCCATTCCTGTCCACTTGGGATAGGATTGCGCCGAGTCCGAGTTTGGATGCATCCGTAGCCAGTATGAATTTTTGTTTAAAATCCGGATAGAGAAGTATTGGTGCTTCGGTAAGTTTCTTTTTTAATAATTTGAATGCTTCTTCTGTTACTTCTGTCCAAATGTATTGATTTTCTTTTTTTAATAGTTGATGAAGTGGATTAGCGATTTCCGAGAATCCTTGTATGAAGCGTCGGTAATAGGATGCTAATCCTAAAAATCCTCTTAATTCGGTCAGATTGGTCGGTTGCGGGAAATCCTGTACTTTCTGGATTTTAGTAGGGTCGGGTTTAATTCCTTCTTTCGTTACGACGTGGCCAAGGAATTCCAATTGTTCCTTACAGAAGTGACATTTATCGATATTTAATTTAAGACCTGCTTCTTGGAGCCGTTGGAATGTTTGTTCTAGGTGGTCGAGGTGACTTCCGAAGGTCGGCGAGTGGATATTAGTGTCATCCAGGTAGATGACCAAGAATGTCCATGCTAGTCCGGTGTAGACTATGTCCATTAAACGTTGGAAGGTGGCGGGGGCATTCGTTAATCCGAATGGCATTACGTTAAATTCGTATATGCCCTGTTGGGTGGTGAATGCGGTCTTCTCTCGATCTTTGGGATCCATCTCGACTTGCCAGTAACCACTAGCTAAATCGAGTGTTGAGAACCATTGAGATCCTCCTAGTGAATCAAGAATTTCATCGATCCTTGGTAGTGGGTAAGCGTCTTTCTTTGTTACTGCATTCAATTTCCGATAATCTACGCAGAATCTTAATTTTCCGTTCTTCTTTTTTACTAATACGACGGGTGACGACCATGGACTCGTCGAGGGGCGGATTACTCCATTTTTCAGCATTCGTTCGATTTCTTGTTTAATGAATTCGGTAGACTTTGGTGGGGTACGATACGCTCGTTGCCTAATTGGTTGAGCGTCTCCAGTATTAATCGAATGGTGAGCCTTATTAGTCTTTCCCATGTCGTTTTCATCCGAAGCGAATAGGTCGGAATATTTCATTAACAATCGATCTAATTGTTGTTGTTGTTTGTTGCTAATAGAGCCTACATGGATGTTCGGTAGGTCTCGAGTTGTGAGCGTATAGGTTTCTACTTTTTCTTTCGTTGTCTGCGTTTTCTTGGTTGATAGTTTGAAATATTGTATGACTTCGTTGGCGTTGTGGAATGTTTGTATTGCTTGTATTTCGTCTTCCAGGGATCCAAGTATGGTTCCTTTTTCTAAGATCATTGTTTGATTGCTTCGGTTTATCAATGTGAGCTGTAGTTTATATGGTTTTCCGGGTGTAATATATTGATGATTGCAAATTACATTATATTGACTAAACAATTTAGGGTTGGGTTCAAATAGTAGAGCCTTTGAACTAACGACTTCTCCATTTCGGTTTTCCCATGTGACCATTCCGTTTGGAAAGATCGAGATCGTTTTTTCTAGCAAAACGGGTGTTCCAGTTGGTCGGTTTTCATCTTCTTCGTCGATCACAGCCAAATTGGCTTTTTGTGATACTCGTCCGGTAGATCCAAGACCTTTTTGTCCTCGTTGGCTTCCTTTTAACTCTTCTCGAGTTTTCACTTTTAATATTGTCTTTGCGGGTACGAGGGGTAAATAAATTGCCTGTCCGATTCGTTCTTTTGGCAAAATTTTATATGCTAATCGTGAGCTATTTTTTAATATTATTTGTAGATTTCCTACGTATCCGGCGTCTATTACTCCTCCTTCGACGGTGATTCCTTTTTTTGCGAGTGAGGAACGAGATGCTAATTGTATCATTGTTCCTTTAGGGATTTCTACAGCAATTCCCAGGTCAATCACTACCGTTTCTCTGGGTGAAATCATTAATGACTTTTCTTCTGGATAATATAGGTCGAATCCAGCATCAGTTTCATGAGCTTTGGTGGGTATTGTCGCAGTTGATTTGTGTTGGTAGCATTTAATTTGTTGTTCTACTTTCGTTTTCCTCTTTTTATCCTTATACCTGATAGGTTTTATTGGTTCGTATCCCATAAAGTTAGCAGGGATCGGATAGTCGAGGATTGTACCATACATTTGCTCTTCGATTTCGTCGAACCAGTTGAATTGGTCGGTCCATTCTTCATTTGGTACGGGAACCATCTCTGGCCAACATTCGTCACAAAATTGATCTTGACAGGGCATCAAGCAAGCGGTACATAACGAAATGTTCGTTATTCGAAGTTGTTTTTCTTGTTCCTCTCGTGCCGGAGCTAGTCGTTGGTAATTCTCATGGAATATTTCTCCGTTGTCTAACCACGTATAATCAGCTATCTCGTCGATAAGGTGGAAGTATTCTTCTTCCTTCATTTGTTTGATTTCTTCTTTCGTTTCTCCTCCAATGAATCTTAAGGCTAGTTGCCTTAGTTTTTCATTATCTTCGGGTTCTCCATTAAATCGATCACAAGCGCGCCAAAAAGCGGCTTGGAAAGGTGTTCCTCCTTGAACCCATCGTTTCATTAGATAAGCGTATTTGCAATCGGTGTCGCAAACTCCTCCTACACCAGGGATGTCGTCCCAGCAGTATTTGTCTGGCATTAATTTTCCACATACTAAGCAATCGGTTCCGTCCCATAGTCCAGTTCCAGGGGGCTGTTCGACATATCCGAAACAATTTTTATTGCATCGATTGCAATAATAAACTGTTTCTTTTCCCCATTCTTCATCGGGTCCTATCGTAGCGCTCATGGATGATAATTTCTTTCCGCATTCAAAGCATTCCAGTTTTGGGCGAATCCATTGGTTCTTTCTTTTCGGGGTATTCTTTTTTCTGTTTCTCCGTTGATGGCCGCTTTCGGTAATAGCGAAATTCTCATATTCGATGATTGGTTTATATGGATCATGTTCGCTTCCTTTTTTCTTTTCAAAGCTAATTACGGTGCTGGTTTCATTTCCCTTATACGATATTGCCATGGAATATCGATGATAATCTAATTGGGCATGAGCTTTCTTCATCCAGTCGTTACCGACCAGAGCTTGGTATTGTGGGGCATCGATGATGAGTACTTTAATTGGTACTGAGATGCCTTCTATTTCGAATGGGAAGTCATCTATTTCTCCCAATGGTGTTGTTCGCGTACCGTTGGCCGTAATGATTTCCGTGGTAGATGGACGTTGGATCCGACGATTTAGTTTCTCCAATAGTTTCGTTGTTACAATACTTCCGGCGGATCCTGAATCGATTATGAGTTTTATGGGTTTTCCGTCGACTTTGGCTTCTACGGTCATGGCGGTAATCTTTTCCTTCTTTGATGTGGTGGCTACCATTATTTCGACTTCGGATCCATCCGTTTCAGTCTCTTCTGACTCTTCTTCTGAGCTGTTAGCTAATTGCTGTTCAGCTAGGTAAGTTCGTTGTGTTCTTTTGTTTTGTTCGGGTCGTCTGTTTTCCTGTCTAATATTCCTTTCATTTATATTTCCGTTGTAGTGAGGAGCTTGTCGTGATACATATGGTCTGGCTGGTACATATGTTGTAAAATTTGTTCTAGGCGGATAAGTACGAACAAAAGGTCCATCTGGGTTTGGATATCGAGGTGGCCGATTATTCTGCCAGGGAGATGGTGTGGCTGTGGGGCGATAATTTCGCTGGTTATTGTTCGGTTTGCTTCGGCAGTCTCTGGCAAGGTGGCCTTTTCGATTACAGTTAAAACAAACTCGTTCTTCCCGTATGTTGGACTGGGGGCGATCTTGGGGTCGATTCCTTTCTGTTTGTTGGACTAGAAGGGTTTCTAAGGTCTTTTCTATTTTCAACATCCGTTTGTCCGTTTTATCAGTTTTATCAGTTTTAACCGTCGTCCCTTCTAATACCGCATTTACACTTGTAGTAAATGTTCCATAGGCGAGCACGGTTTCAGCATCTCGGGCTTCCTTGAATGCTTTCTCAATGGTCTTGATCTTTGGATTATAAACTCGTTTTCGGAGTTTATGATCAAGACTTCGAATGAACATATCGGCCTTCTGCTGTTCATTATAGTATTTTCCGGTGGCATCGGCTCGTCTCAATAATTTCGAGAATTCGCCATAGTACTTAGTGACATTGTCGGTTGGGCTTTTCTTCATGGTGGCGAGCTTGGCATGGAGTTTAGCGGTAGTGGATTTAATGGCGAAGAATTTTAAGAACGTTCTAATGAAGGTTTCTAAGTTTCCAAGGACGTCTTCATCCAGGTTGATAAACCATTCATTGGCGGTACCTTTCATTGCGATCGGTATCCGTTTCATAGTAGTTGCTGCATCCCATCCATTTGCTGTCATTATTTTAAGGACTTCCGTGGCCCATTCGTTTGGATCTTCATCTTCGTCGTTGCCGTGGAAGTCAGGTAATTTGTATTCCCTTAATCTGGTGGCGTTTTCGTTCCTTTCTTCATTTTCCTTTTCCATTCTCCTAATTCCTTTTATTATTTTATGATCATCCATGTCGGAATCGTTGCTGTCTGGATCGGAGTTGTCGGGTTCTTCGTTGATTCTGATGTGTGTTTTCTCGAGTAACGACTTGATCGTTTCTTTCTCTTTAATGTTTTTAGTAGGTTTCCTAGTCTTCGTTCCGGAACCTGTGGCTTTATTTTTCTCTTCGGAATTTTCGGTATCTTGAATTTTTTCTAGTGTAGTGGACATCTTAATCTTCCTGGATCGTTTTGGACTCAATGGGGGTTCGGGAATGGTTGTCAATTGTGCGACTAATGTACTCCGTTCCTTGAATTCCCTATTCAGTCCTTCTTTAATTTTCTCTTTTCTTTCCTGATAGTCTCGTTCTTCGGCGGATAGTTCAGCGGCTTGACTTTCAGTAATGCTTGGAGGACTAATAAATAATTGAAAGGGTCCTTTCGTATTACAATCGGATACTATTATGCTTCCCGATTCTTGGTCGTCGGATGAATCCGGTAGGACGTTTTCCGTTTCTTCTTGGAATTCTGGAGACTTTTCCGATTCGATAAAGGCGTTATTGGGTTGGTAATCTTCGTTGTCTTCTGTTTCTTCCAGTTCTTCGTCGGTTAATCCGTTAGTTAATTCAAATTTCTCTTGACACCAACTGAAGATTTGGTTGTCAAGTTTTTTTGTTATAATTTTAGTGTCGTCAGAGGTGAGCTTCGATCTTATTTCCAACTCTACCTGAAGACGTACTCGAGTGGCTTGATAGAGTTGTTTTTCCTTTGTGTGGTGGTTAACACGGGTGTTAAAATAGCGAGTGAATAATTCAGAAAGTTCTTTTTCGTCTTTGCAGTTACTGTGTTCTACCAATCGCCGGTATAGTTCTTGTCGTTTTGTCTGAGCTTCTCTGGTATAGGTCGCCAGGGTGTTATTTTGTTTTGATGATGTTAGTGAGTCTTGTTTTTCTCTTCTTTTTTTTTTATATTTAATTATTTTTATCGAATTATTTATTCTAATTATTAACTTTTTTAATTAATTATTATTGTTTCTAGGTCGGTATACGTGGACGGGTCCTACGGATCGGGGACGTGGGGTATTATTGTTAAGTATGTTTATTATTTCAGTTATTAACGGAACCCTCTCCGTGATGACTGTAACCGTTCTTCTTTCTGTAGGTTTATAAATTCGGGTTTGGGTAATTTCTACGATCTCGGATCGTCCTAGACCTGTCGGTCGGTATGTATAACTTCGGGTTGTGGTAATTTGTGATGGCATTAATTAATTATTTCTTTAGGTTCGTGGCACTTCGGGATTCAACGGTCGTGTTGATCCCCCTGCTGTGAGCACCAAATGTTACGATGCGTCACTAAGGTATTTTATCTTTATGTATTAATTTTACTAGTGGGATTTAACCACTCTTCGGGTTCT